TGCTGCCTTCTGATTCCTGTTGTGGCGCCCCATGGCTTCCCTTCCCCCCTGCCAGACTGCCCCTTACCCCAGCTAAAGGATAACCAGTAAATTAACCGGTTATCACTGCACTTATTGGTTAAATGATTAATTGATTAATCACTTAACTTTTCATACCCTTAGTCAGTAGCTCTCTAGCTTTAACCCTGCAACAGGTCAGCACTCTCATTCATTATTCCTGCAAATAAAAAGAATTACTTTCGTGCTTAGAGGAGTTGAAGTGATGGACCAGAGCCCCTTTAAAGCACAGATGCCCCTTAGAGAGCACAGTTTACACTGGAGATTTTTGTGAGGAAGAGGGGGTCAGGTAGGGGCAACAAACATGTTATATATATTACAAGCTAGGCCTGCCATAGAACCTGGATACTTCATCTTTGCAGTGGGATTAGGAACCTAACCTTATGAGGGTTGCCAGTTAGCTGGGATTCACATACAGCCACCACAAAAGCATGTGGAACTTCTCAGGTGCTGCAGCTATTGGCTGCAGGTTTTATTTCAAAGGATACCATGACTGTGATCACTTATGGGTGGGGACAGCTGCTGTGTTCTAGCTGACTGGAACAGTGATGTCTTTTGAAGACATCATTGCAAACACCTGAATAGCTTGTCTTTAATTAAGCAACCTCCTGCAAATGAAATGGATTGTGACCCATGCTGAATACAAATGATCCAAGTTTTGTTGTATTGGAAAGTTCAGTCTGCTCTGTTTCTTAGCAGGAAAATAGAGAAATTACCAGTTGGAAGAAGGACACAAGAACCAGTGGTTGGGATTTTAAGCCAGGCTATTTTGAAATTAGTAATAAAACTCAATTTTTTAACAAAGTGCTGTAAATGCTACTGGAACAAGCTGCTAAAATGTGGTGGGTTCTTTGTCCCTTGATGTCTTCAAGACTCAGTGCTTTTTTTGTTTTAGCCTAATATGTGTTTGTTTTTATCTGACTCGAGTTACTGAGCACAGTGTAGCGGTAACCAGATGATATGTTATGGCCTTCTCTATGTACAGGAGAATAGGTTAGATGACCAGAACTTCTCTTTCGGTCTTATATTTGTAAATCTGTGAAGTGTTGCCACAGTTTTACTCAGTGTAACTAGGGAAAGTAATATAAAAAATACAACCTGTTTTTAAAGCAGTTGTCCAGCATAGCCAAGTTGGCTTGTGTGTGATGTATGGTAACTATTAAAGTATTCTGAGCGGGAGAGAGAGTTTACACTTTTAGCTTCAACCATGCAGAAAATTATTAACAGAAGGTTTAACAACTACATATTTGCATAATGGTATGGAGCCTGTTTCATTGTTACTCTGAAATTTTTTTTTCAAGTTTTAAAGATAAAGTTTTTTTATTTCTCCTACTTTGTAGTCTGTAATACTGCAATCTTTTTATTTGTTGTGCTTTAGAGTAAAATATTTAATCAAAGCGATCTCAAATATGTACAAAACCAGACCACATACCTTCTTATTACATCTATAAACCTTGGATCAGGACTGTCAAACTCATCCAGCCCGGTAGGCTGGGTGAGCCATAAGCAGGCTGGTCTGAGGACTGGACTAGTGCCAGCCCTGTATGCAGCATCTGTGGCTCCTGATTCAACCCATGTACCACATGCAGCATGCACTGGCTCTCGGGGCCATCACAGGGCACATACTAGCGATCATGCGTGGGTTGGACCTGCCATCATGCACACTGCAGGCAACACAGGGGCTCTTGGTCTAGAACGCTGCATGTAACCTGCACCGCAGGCCCTCTGGGCTGCGTTCAGTGAGTGTGGCGACTAGATGTGCATGCAGCCCCTCAGGCTGGTATGGGGTGCATGCTGCCTGTGGCATGTGGGATGAAGGGGTGTGGAATGTGGGCTGTATTCAGAGCCCCAGATGAACCCCCTGTGCTGCCTTCTGTGCCCACAAAGCCTAGTCCAGCTGGGCTGGGGCTAAGCCTGGGGCCAGCACATGGGGTTGATCAATCCACAAACCATATGTATGACATCTGTGCCCTAAGTCATAGCTGAAGAAGAAATATACAGATTGCATTTCAGGCATCAATTATAGTACAACCTGGTAGATATCCTAGCAAGGCTATGTGCGTTTAATATGTTACGTTTATCACAAAACTAGTGTTAGGGTGGATTTTAGTACTTTTTATTTAAATTTCTATTCCTAATTGTTTCTAACTCTTTTTTTCCTTAGAAGAAGCATCTTATAATAATTCTTAATGCAAAAAGATTTTTTCAATCCTTTAAAAAAATATGCTGGTTCTTTGTCCTACGAAGTCAGTGTCTGGGAATGGTCATTATTGGTCAGTTAAGAATCTAGCTTTAAAATTTTTTTTTTGTTTGTATAGTTCACCACCATATAAACCAAAAATACCAAAAAGCCTCCAAAAGTCCACCAAAAAACAAAAGAATCCTTGAAACTTAACAGGATGTAAGTTAAGCTAGAGAATTTGTTTTCTTGTCTGCTCTTCCTAGTTCACTGGACCTTGAGTTCATTAAAGTGACAGAACTTCAGCATGAGGGGTGGAGAGTGTCTCTGCCCCTGAATACCCTCCAGCAGTGTGGGTAGGGCACATGCTTGGGAGATATGGCCTTGAATACTCTCAGACTAAGGAGAGCACTGAATACAGTCTCTTTCTTTTAGTAAGCACTGTGAGCAGTAGGCTATTGTATAAAAGGTGACTATTTTTAAAGGAAAATGGCTGCTGTGTGTGCATTTTGTTAGCGTGTTAGGCAAACTGTAGGAAATTCTGTTGTATTGTGCCCCTTAGGGAAGGAGGAATGCCTTTTTTCTGGATCCTTGTCAGGCTTACGCAGGAAATAGTTGCTGAGCTGCTCAGACTGAAGCTGTTCTGAGTGTTCACGGAAGCGGAACTATAAGTGCCTAGGGAACTGTAAAGTCAAATAGGGTAATGTCTGCTGAGTTTGTTGCAGGGTCAGGCAGCAGCTGAGCAAGGGGTTTTTGTATTGCAGCTTTGGACCTTGCCATCTCAGTTCCACTTATGTTCTTTATTGGATTTAGCCCCTTGTGCCACAGCCTTCTATCTACAAAATACAGCTAGTAGTACCATGCCCATATTACTGAATAAGGGTGTCTTGAGGATGAATATGTTAAAGATGATCAGATTCTGAGATACTGTAGAATGGTATGAGGGTGTCAAACTTGATCATTCCCAAATTTCCAGCCCCACAGTGGAGACCCCTGTCTTAAAGCAAAAATGACTTGCTAAGTTATGTTGCAACTTTTTGTCTTTGCCAAAATAAAATAAAAATGTTGACAAGTAAATAAATCAATCTAAATAAAGATTGATTCCCCGCCCCCTTTCCGTAAAGTTAGGTTTTCTGGAGCCTTGAGTCTTGATTTCTGTTGTAATGGTATAATATACTTCATTACATGGTGACCAGGGATCCAGGTTTTCCATTCGCCACGGAAAAACACAGATTTTTCTCCTTTAATGTGGGAAACTGCGGGTTTCATGTTGTAGGCTGGCAGTTTCAGCCTGCAAGGGCTGCTTGGGGCTGAAAGCAGCAGGATGCAGTTGTGGAGAGTAGTCCCCTCAGCTCCTGCAGGTAAGTCTGGGCATAAGTGATGCAGAAGGGACGGGCAGGGGGGCAGATTATATAATGGGGGAGGCCCCCATGATGAGGGAGGGCATGGGGCAGGTTTGGCAGGGCAGGAGTGCACACCCACAGGGTCCTGCTGGGGAAGTGGAAAGGAGCCATGTGGGTGGCTCATTTGGGGGATTGAGGAGATGGCTCCCTACTGCTGTGTGCACTCTTGGGGAGGGGGTATGGGGGAGCATATGCCTCCCCAAGATTTGTGTATGGGGCAAGGGTGGAGATGGGCTGCCCATTGTGGGGCTTGGGGCTCTCCACCCTGCTGCCCTCCCCCTGGTGGCCTCCGCAGGCCAGTAGGTGGGACCCACTGCAGGAAGTTGGAGTGAGGCAGGGAGGCTTGGGGCTGCTCCTGCCCCCACCACCTCTTGGGAGCCCTGCATCAGCCATGCCACCATGGTGAAGCATCACCTGCCCTCCCAGATGCAGCGGTGTGGAGTTGTGCCCCTTCGCTGATGCCGGGCAGGAAGGGGGCAACTTGCCATGGTGGTGTGGCTGGCACAGAGCTCCACTCCAGGTGCAGCAGCTGCCACCTCCTGTGCATGGTATCTAGGGTTCAGGTGCTGCTGGAGGGGCAGGAGGCTGCAGCCCCTGGCCCCAGCCCTGTAGCCCTGCAGCTGGGGGCTCCCTCTGGCAGGGCTCACGAGGGTGGTGGGCTGTGGGTTGGGAGTGGGGGGCACTGGCAGGGATGGGAGAACTGGTATTATTATTTAGTCTAGAGCAGACAAGGCTAAGGAGTATAGTATAGATGATAGTGTTCCAATACTGAAAAGGTTATTACAGGGATGGTGATTGATTGTTTTCTGTGTCTATAGGGAATGGGCAAAAAGCAATGGGCTTACATTTCAGCAAGGACATCAGGGTGTCACAGGGGTGCCATGGGGTGATACACAATGTTAGCACCATTGATTTTACAACCATGACTTCAACATAAACCCAGAGATTTCAACAGACATCCATAGTTGTGGTTTTTCAGAGTCTTAGGCCTTATGGAAAAGCTCCCTGTTTTAAAAAACATCATAATGCATTGACAAGCATTTGGGGACTCCTTAATTGTTAATTTTTGAGAAGTGTAAAACTGTAACATGACTAATTTATAAACCAGTCAGATTACATTGTTCATTTGTGGTGGTCAGAATATTTCAGCCCATTTTTATTTAGATTCTTCAGGTGAGAGACTAGGTTGGTAGTGTTCAATTAGACCAGTGGTGATCAACCTCCAGCCTGTGTGACTGTGTTGTCTGGCCTGGGGGGAGCCTTGCAGGCCAAAAGACATAGTCTTGTGCCCTGGATCGTGCCAGGGCATAAGCTTGCTTTGTAGCTAAATCAAGCCCGCAGGACCAGAAGTTTGAGCACAACTCTGATGTTAAAACAATACAAGTTGCAAACAGTTCAGATGCATTTGTCGTTAGTGGGAGAGTGATCTGGTCAACTTAGATAGTAAATGTAACAGCATGAAACCTTATTGTACAATTCTGAATACTTTTTCTAACTGAACTTTTTCCCTTTAAAGACAGTGTACACAGGAATTGATCATCACTGGAAGGAAGCCATATATGCTACTTGTGGGCATCAAGTTGACATCTGGGATGAACAAAGGACCAGTCCTATATGCTCTCTGACATGGGGTGTTGATAGCATAAGCAGTGTGAAATTTAATCCAATTGAGGTAACTTTTTCTTTATATACATTGTACTGTTTGCTGTAAATTCAGAATCAATGTCAAAAAGATCCATCATAGCAAAACTCCCAGTCACCCTCAGATAGACAGCTAAATTAAAGACCTAGAAAAATGCAGCTCTTCGATGAAGTTATGAAAGCAAGTTGACCTAACAGCTCAGCCACTGAGGCTTAGTAAAGCTTAACAACTAATGCATGATGCTGTTGTAACAGCTTTTGGCAAAAAATTGCAAGAAAAATGCAGACTGATTTGAAGAGCACTCTGAGGCCCTTTTATCACTGTTGGAGAACAAAAGGACAGCTGTTGCAGCTGTGGCCATTTTCAGAAGGGCCTTGGCTAAGCTGCAGAAGTGTTGCTAAGCTTAAGGCCCAAAGCCTGTTTCTGAGTGGCTATAGTGTGAATCTTTGCAGATGTGACAACTAACTTGCAGCAAGTAAGGGAAGCTATCAAACACAGTTAAACAAAGCCTGAAAGAACTAAGGGAAGACTATTCATTAAATAATCCTTATACACTATATCATGGCTTTATCTTAAAATAATAGTACAGGTAACCCTCACCATTTGTGGGGGATACATTCTCATGGCAAGGGTTTTCTGTAGTAGTAGTTGACGTAACCAAATGTATTAAATATTATTTTGTGTATTTTTGTTAAAATGCTTAGATAGTTTTAGGCATAATAATAGACATATTTTTGTTAAAATGTTTATATAATTTGTAAAAAGAAAAACAGCCTTGTCAGGAAAGATAATAAAATAAGGTAAAAAATAAGAACAGCATTCCATAATGGGGAAGGAAAGGAGATGAGAAACCCTCCCTCTTTCCTAAGAATATAAATCCCAACTAATGACACCGTCCAAGTTCACAAGAGATCTGGTTCAGTCCAGTTCCAAAAGTTTCAGTGAAACAGAAATTTACATTAAAAAAAAATTTAAAATAAAAAATTAAAATAAAAATACAAAATCAGAGATAATTTATTAGAACAGGGGCTGTCAACCAGGGGTATGTGTACCTCTGGGGGTACTTAGAAAGGCCATAGGGGGTGCGGGCAGGCAGGAACGGAGTATGCCTCAGGGCGTGGCAGCGGCATCTCCCCTGGGATGTTCCCACAGTTCGCCTCTTACCTGGAGGAGGGGGAGGAGCGTGCCGGGCACTGCTGGCCCCACATGGCGCACTGCAGTGCCTTCCCCCCTACCTCAACTCACTGCCCTGGCCCCAGCCCACCCCGCATGCAGATTCAGGGGCATGTGCCCCCCCCAATGCCCTCCCTGGGTGCGCGCAGTAGTAGGAGCCGCTCCCCCTGCACCCTCTGGACGAGCTGCTCGTGGCTCTGTTATGCACGTCCCCCTGGCTGTGCAGTGCCTGCCCCAGCCCCTCTCCCTCCCTTGCTGCGGGGGCCTTGATCTGCTCTTCCCCTTCCCTTCCACCACAACAGACTTAACAGCTGGACGCAGCTCTCCAAGCTGCCTGGCTGTGCTCCTTGCTGCCTATGTGCTGTGCTGTGGCTGCGTGGTTGCACGGGTCATTTATTAGCTACATCAGGAAAAAAAGGCCGATTTCTGATACAGTCAGTATTCTTTACGTTGGTACTGATCTGATATCGGACCGATGTATTGGTACATTGCTATACAATATTGAAACCAGCCATCTATAAATCTTCAACATAGACTGGAGAGAAATTTGGAGAACTCAGCAAATTCACAAAGACCCGCTGTCAATCTGTGAGCCATCTTCCTCCTACCTCTTGAGTCTCTCCAGCCTGTATAGGTGAGAATCTGTGTTCTGCTGTCATGGGTAGCCAGATAGACTTCGGGATAAATGTTTGCTTTCATGTTTTAAAATGCAAGCAAATGTAAGGTTGGGCTGTCGACCTGTTTCTGCCTCTCTTTTTTAGTTAGTCTACCCACAAGGTTACCTGTAATTTGGGCAACACACCACTAACCCACTAAAAGAATCTCGCAACACCATAATCCTAGGAAATCTGAGACGGCCTCCTTTTGCATTTCTCTTCAAGCCTAAGAGGTGTGCCCCAGGTGAAGCTCTGTGATGATATTCAGAAAGCAGCTGATGCAGGTGATAGTCATGGAATGTACAAAGGCATCAATGAGCTACTGGTCTAGTCATTCCTAAAACAGCTCCACTGAAAGACTTAAATGGAAATGTCATTATTGATGAGCAAAAATAGTTTGAGTATTGGATCAATTTATATACTCCAGCGACCCGAAACCAAATGCAAAGAACTGGAAGGATTATCACAGTTCAAAGTTATGATGGATTTAGACAGCAAAGCCTACATAGAAGATTTGCAGAAAGCCATTAAATTGGTTCCTGGGAACAAGGCATCCGGCAACAACTATTTGCCTGCTGAAATCTACAACTGTACCAACGGCGAATTACTTCAAAATCTTCGTGAAGTTATACTGCTCTGTTGGAAAGAGGAAGCGGTATTACAAGATTTCAGAGATGCTCGGTTTGTACAATTCTACAAAAACAAAGAGGATAGAAGTGACTGTAACAATTATAGAGGTATCTCTCTGTTGAACATCACTGGAAAAACTGTCACTGGCATCATGCTCCATAGGCTGCGATCTCTAGGTGAAAGAATCTGTCCCTAAAGTCAGTGCAGTTTTTGCTTGAGACGTTCCACCATTGATGTATTTTCAGTCAAGTAACTGCAAGAGAAGTGTAGAGAAAAATAAATACCACTGTACATAGCCTCATCGATCTGACTAAGGTCTTTTGATACAGTCAGCAAACAGGGCTTTTCTACTGTTCTGAAGAAACTGGGTTATACCCCACAAACTGTTGGGCATCATTCGTTCACTTCATCAAGGCATGGAGACAACTGTAGTGTGTGAAAACAAAGAATCAAATACCGTGTCAGCCCACCTGCCTTTTAACATCTATTTTTCATTCCTGCTTCTGCATACATTCAAGGACAGCAATGATGGCATCGGTCTTTGAACCAGACTAGATGGAGGCTTGTTCAACATTGCAAGGTTCAGAGAGAAAAAAACCAAAGTTAAAAGAACTGATTCTGAGAGATTTCCTGTTTGGATGATGCGGCCTTGGTCGCCCACAGTGAATCTTCCCTGCAAAACCTTTTGGGCACATTTTCTCAATCACACAAGTGACTTGAGGTGGCAGTTAGTCGCAGGAAGACTGATAATCTACCAAGGTGTAGAAGAACCAATACCTGACATCACTCTGGTGTAGCTGACAATTTTTGTTACTTGGATTTTATAATCAGTGGGGAATCTTGACTGAATCTAAATCTTCAGATTTAACTGAATAACAAAATCAGAAAAGCAGTTAAGATTTCAGGCTATTAAAGAAACATGCATGGAATAACAGCAGACTAAGATGAAGATATGAATCTACGAGACTTGTGCACTGTCACTTCTGCTTTATGCTTCAGAAACATGGACTGTATATGCTAGGCACATCAAGAAAGAGTCTGAACAGCTTCCATGTGATGTGTCTATGCAGGATTCTGAAAATAAAGTGGGAAGACAGAATAACAAATACAGAGGTATTGGTGCGTGCAGGATTGACACGCTATCAAGAAGAAAAGGTTGTGATGGATCAGGCATGTCAGGAAAATGGGAGAAGGTTGTATCTGTAAGAATATTTTATGTAGTGAGATTTGAGATGGCTCTAGAAAGCTGGGTCGCCTTCTGTGGCGGTACCATGATGTATGCAAAAATGATATGAAGTCATTCAGCATCAACATAGAAAGCTGGGAGGAGCATGCAGAATCCTATCCAGTCTGGAGGGAATATCTGGCACTGGGTGTAGCTCAGTATAAAGCAGCTTTGATCCAGAGGATGTAAACAAATAGAGAAAGTAGAAAGCAGTATGCTGTAAATTTGGATTCCAACTTAGACAACATATGGATCTGTGAAACTTGTAACAAGCTATGTTGTTCTTGAATTTTGCTTGTCAAACCAACATTAGCCCAAACATCAGCATCTGACAACACCTTTTACGTGTATATCATGATCGATGGTTACGTACTACTGTCAGCACAATGTCTGAATGATGTTAATACGATGTTTTAGCTATTTCTTCTAAATATAACCTTCCTAAACAATGCTTTTTACCTCTTGATGTAGTGATGTTACAGCAGTAGGTAAACCAGGAACCAACATGCAGCTGGAAATATTTTCTTGTTAGATGTACTGTGTTTTATTGGATTTGATGGAGTGCATGTAGAAGACTAGGACTCGCTAACAAAGCTACTTTGTGAAAAGGCTTAGAGTTGAATGGTCAGCTCTTTATAACTAACAAACAAACAAACTGTGAGTATATTTACTAGAGGTTAAAACAAATAGGAAATATTTGTAACCAGCATTTTTTTTATGTAAGGGTTCAAGACCACATCCCTATTCTGTGAGTGCCCCACTTTCTACAGTCTTCCTGAATTTTTATAGCTTTATGTGAGACTCTTGCAATGTCTATTCTTAAATTAACAGAATGAGAGTTGCTTAAGTATCCTGTGTAAAATGCATATTGTTGCTTTTGTGAGACAGTATTTACAAAACAATATTTGATAACACATTATGATTGTGTTTTAGACATACCTTTTAGGAAGCTGTGCTTCGGACAGAAATATTGTGTTGTATGACATGAGACAATCAACTCCATTAAAGAAGGTAACTTCTTCTGTTTAATAACTTATTTGTAACATAAATAACACTTTGAGGCACAAAGCTATAAATAGTATGGAGATGCCCAAGATGATGAAAGGTAGACTCCTGACAAACAGAGGATTTAGAACCAAATTGGAGTTTTAGCAAACATGTTGTCTTTAATTTGAAGCTTTTAATATAATATATAGAGTTAATTTCAGGATTTAAATCCTGGTAAATTTAGAAAAATGCCCTCTTAATTCAGTTATTGTGCTCAGGAATTGACAGTTGTGCCTCTGAGTTGTGCCTCTGTGGGAGTGCAGTATTTTGATTTTTAGATAAGCACTGAGGCTCAGATCCTGTTCTACTTCTGTAAGGCCCAAGTGACACTTAGGCATCTCTGGACAACCATACTCATGTCTCTGGAAAATTGTTAATGAACCAGCTTTTGTAATGCATCTTCATCTTTGTCTTAAGACATCTAAGTTGCAAAAAGCAGAAAAGAGAAGGAGAACCATCACACTGTTTGCCCAGCAACAGATTAGTGAGGATACAGGTAGGAGACTTGGAGTTTAGGCCCCCACTCAACCTAATGGGATTTGAATCCACGTTCCACTTTTCTGGAAGTGTCCTAAGTCAGAGTATGGAATAGGCAGGGCTGAGAGCATGATTCATCACTGCTGTTGAAGCATGGGCCACTGAATGGAAAGGAATGCAGAAATTGTGAAGCTCAGAAAGCAAGCAAAAGGGAATGTGACCATAGTTCAGTGAGGTGAGCCCTAGCCTGGAAGGTTTCTTTTCCTAATGCTGTTTATGCATTTTATCCAAGTCAGTTTAATGCAGAATGCATTATGTTGCAGCTCTGGAGTTGCACTTTTATATAACTCAGAGAAGGATTTGGACCACTGAATCTCTTAGTGGTAGCCAAAAATGCAGAAGACTGGGAAATTAGATTCTTTATAAGGATCTATGCTGTGCGATTTATATGAAAATTTGTATTCAACATTTTATTGCATCTAACTCCTTCACCTTTGATGATATGCTGTTCCTGGTTTGCATGAAAAGTTTCCAAAGGAGACTGAAAGAGGTAGTTAGGTGTGTTAGTATTCAAGCATAAATTGCTTTCTTGCATTTCATACCCTGCTTTGTTCATGTCCTTCCACAGCATTGGATTAAGTGAGTTTGGGATCATGAAAAATTATGCCACGCACACACGCACGCACACACACACACTTTAGTTATACGTATACATAAGCAAATATAGAGCTCCTCTTTAAGAAAGGGAAGAAGGAGGATAACGAGGAGTTTACACACCAGTCAGTCTGATGCCAGTACAGGAAAGATTACTGAGCAAGCCTTTAAGGAGCCTGTTTCTAAGCACCTGGAGAACGGGGTGAGAAAAGCATGTGAACACATGGATGGACCCAATGATTTTCCGAGGTCCCTTCTGACCCTAGAAATCTATGAACATTTAGACCAATTTAAATACAGTTTATATCTGAAGTGGACAGATATCAAACCAGTTTAAAGCTACCTGAAATATATACTCTCTGAACTGGTTCACCATGAACTGGGTTTGTTACGTGTGGACACAGTGTTTTGTGATGTGAGTAATTAGTCCCACACTGGCATCCCACATTGAATTGCTCCCCACCACCACCTGCTGTAACAGGCTGCTTTGTCACATGGCTAGAACTTTATTCCCGCACACCCCCTCCTTTTTTCTTCCCTTTTGTTGGCACTTTTTATCAAAGTCGCTTTGCACTTTTGCACATCAAGAGCAAGTCATGCCTGACCGATTTGATTTCCTTCTATGACAAGAAGACAAGCTCTGTGGATATGAGGTGAACAGTAGATGTGACATATTTTTACTTTAGCCAGGCTTTTGATAACAACTCTCAAAGCATGCTTATTAGTAAACTAAGGAAATAAGACTAGGTGAAGATACTGTAAGGTGGATATATAACTGATTGGATCTTCATGTTCAATAAGTAGCTAGCAATGGCCCAACAGCTAGTTGGGAGCAGGTTTCAGATGGCATTCTCCAGGGGTCTGTTACTGGTCCAGTATTGTTTAATATCTTCATGAATGATTTGGAGGGTGGGATTGAGCATTAATTTAACAAATTTGTGGATGACACCTGTTGTGTATTGAGTGTCTGTATATAGTGCATTTACTCAAATCTAAGACAACCCTGAATTTAAGATGCTTCCCCCAATAATTAGCTACCAGAAAAGTTGTGAAATCTCCATCCTTAGATGTTTTAAAGACCAGATGAGATAGACATGTGACTAGGGTGGTTTAGTTGGGGATGATCCTACCTTGAGCAGTGGGTTGGTTTAGACCAGGGTGGCCAACCCGCAGCACTTGTCACAAGTGGCACAAGCAGCCTCTATGTGTGGCATGTAGATCCGGGTTGGAGCAGGGGACACAGTGATAGATGGGAAAGGGAGCAGAAAGGAGAGCTACTGATTAGAATCACTGTTCTGTGATTCTATGCATCTTGCTATTTGCAGTAGGAAGAGGGAACTAGGAATAGCACATATGAAGCTCAAATAAGAATTAAAACTGTTTACCATAAATAACACCTGGATTTTTTGAGCAGAAGCATTACAGCTACTTGAAAACTATAAAATCTAGAAGGACTGATACTACAGAAATACTTGGGGCATAGGTGAAATCATGCAAGAAAACTGGAAATCCAAAAAATGCAGAAGACTTTAGGAGGGATTTAATCACTAGAAAAGTGTATGCAAAGTTTAAATCAAAGAAAATATGAACAAGGTTAAATATCTGACTAGGTTATTTGAACTGTGGCAAGATTTGTCAGTTACATACAATTTATAATTATGAAACCAGAATTACAAAAGTGTTTCTGCTATGTTTTGAAAGATTATCTGCAACTGGCGTAATCTCATGCCTTAGCATAATTGATGACCTAGAAAAAGCAGAGATCCCTGTCTGTACAGATGCTTTTGGTTTAGGAGATAAGATTCAAGTGGTCAGAAGAGAACTGTAGCTGTACAAAATTAATTTCTTACAGTGGACTGTGCATGTCCTGTCTGTCTCACTATGCACTGTGTTTTCTACAATTATTTCATGTGGGTCATTATTTATTATAAAACTATAATGTAAAAAGCAGCCATATGGATTTCAGAGCCTGGCATAAAGGTAATGTATGCTTATCTTTCTAGTTCTGTTGTCTTGTATTTTTATTAACTGTGTGGAGAAGGGAGTCAACAGTTAAGTGGCAAAACTTGCAGATGGTGCAGTTTGGGTTAGTCACGATCAGGAAGGATATTAAGGAACTTCAGTGTGACCTGTTATCTGAATGAATGGGCAGTTTGATGGCAGATGAAATTCAGACTTGACTAATGTAAGATAACAGTGGAAGGATGCTTAAATCACTCCTGTTTACTGGGTTCTAAATGAATTAACCAGTCGAGAAGGAATCGATGTAAAGTTCATTACAGGCAGCTTGAGGAAAACATCTGCTCCCTGGGCAGTTAAAAATACATAACAAATATTGTTTCAGTCAGCGTAGAATAAATGGGATAAAAATCAACACTGACAATTTCTGAATGCTGTAATGTAAGTCAAGGGTCAGCAATCTGTGGCCTCTGGACTGGACCCAGCCTGTGGACTTAGGGGGCTTCAGTGGCATTTTGGAAGTTTTGGGTATTGCTTGTGCCTCAGCCAGCTGGTTGGGGGATTTGATCAATCAGCTAGGTCCTAGCAGTGGCCCACCTCTATTCTAAGCTGTGTCATTCTGGCCCACCACTAGAAAATATTGCTGATTTCTGATATAAGTCTAGGAGTACTAAAGAGGGTTATGGCAGAAATAGGAGGAGATTCAGAGATGAGGAGTGAAAATAATTGCAGGCATGGTAAAACTTCCATATAAAGAGGATGAAGAGAGTGACCTGGTTAGTTTGGAGAAGACTATAAAGTCTTATAAAATGAATGATCTAGAGAAGCTTAGGGAAGGATAAGTGGGACTACTTATTTTCACAATATAAGAATGGGAGAAGAAACTAGTGAATTTGGAAAAATAACAAACCTCATGTGGACAACTGTTATACGAACCTGTAGGATTCACTGCCAAATAGATCACTGAGGCAGAGTTTAGGATATTTAAATAAGGATTAAGTTCCTCTGCATTGAACTGCCACAGAGAACAAAATAGTGTTATTTCTTGTTTGAAATGGTAATAAAAGCCTTAGCTGCTCACATCAGCCCAAAATTTCAAACATACTAAAATAGAAGAGATTAAGAAAATCTCCTTATACGTGGACAGTCTGCTTTTGTGTTACTTTAATCTCCAAGTCGTCTAACTTTTTACACAGGAAACTACTAGTGCATATTCATGGCTTAAAAATAAACCAACAAAGCTGGTACCCCCAAGGACTTCAGTGCAGCTTGCCCCAGTAAAGATTTCTCTTTATTAAACATCTGAGCATATCTATAATTAATTAAGAAGAGATTAGGAGATGTTTCTTAGAAATTTAAATGTTACTGTAGTGGCAATGTAAATATTGTATGCCCAGTAGCATAAATATCCTTAAGGCCTGGACTTAACTTCTGCAGTTAGATACATGGTATATGCTGTATATGCATTCTATAAGCAGATATTAGCTGCTTATAGAATGCATATACAGTAATGTCCAGACAAAGCTTGTTCTTACTTAAAGAACTTCATATTAAACCATCAGCTGCTCAAGAAGCTGATGCATGTTTTTTGATTAAATTCCCTTTTGAAACCAAGTCCCCTTCTCAGTCCTTGTCTTCCCCAGTGACACAAAGCACCCCGCCTCCAAGAGTTCCTTATTTTAGGTTAGCTCCTGGGAAGTGGGGAGTGTGTTTCTCTTTAAAGAGTAGTGGTATCAGAGTGCCAGTGTCCCCAAACAGCACAGCAGGCTGCTTCAAAACTAGAGTGCCATCCCAGTGCCATCTGTCCTCACTTGGACTTTACTGTGTCTTCCCTGAAACTGCTCTTTTCCCTCTGTTCTGTTTTCCCTGGGACTTTCTCCATTCTTTCTGAGCCTCACTCCTCTGGTACAGTCAGCCTCACTTGTAGCAAAACAGTTACAAAACCAGTCTTAACATAAGACCAGCACTCGCCCAATACAGTGAAACACCTTGACACAGGGAACCAATCAGCTAGCAGTCTGTGGTCTGCTGTAAGGCCTAGACTGTGATCTGCCCTTGTGGTGAAAAGAGCAGAAAGGGTGTCCAGCTTATGAAACTTGACAGCACAGCCTGCTCACACTGAGCCCCCACAATGTGTTCACAGCAAGAACTGCAGCCTAGGAACTCAGCCCACTCAAACCTTTTAATCATAAGTGTGTAATCTGAGCTGCTTCTGTTGTTTAATGAGATAGTTGTCCATTTCTTATAGATAGCTTGCTGTCTAGAAGGCATCAGAGGATGAATTCATGGTGGTAAAGTAACACTGTCTGAATTTGATTGGGTTTAGTGTAAGTCATTCAAAGTTAGTGTATTGTTTCTATTAACTAATTTATTCTGAGTTTTAGCTGCACAATCCTATTTTGTGGTGCCAGAGAACCTAAAATTTGCATTAATGTAAAATAAGAACAATAAAAATTTGACTGTCATAAAGAGTAGGCACTCATATTTTACCTTGGATTTCCATTGTAATAGAAAAGTTCTGTTCTAATTGTTCAGTTTGTTAAACACTTTTATATTAGTTAACGTGTGCAAGTGCTGTTTTGCTACTGTGATTAGAAACCCCTTCAAGCCTCAGGAGAGGCTAAAGCTATCCTGAAAATCTAGGTGTCAGATGATTCCCCCCAAGAGTTCCCACTTGTCAGTGTTACCATTACAGTGTTCCAAGGTGGGGCACAGAACATGTGGTTTCCAAATACCTTTCATCTAATCCAAGGGTGCTCAATACCTTGCCCTCAAGCCAGATTCAGCCCACAAAGCCATGCCATCCAGATGACTGTGTTCCATACAAGTTCTAAAATTTGGCAGTGGGGAGTATTAATTGCCCCTCCTCTATTGCCAAATTTTAGGACTCATGGGGAGCCTGGCAGGCAGACAGCATGGCTCTGCACACCAACCCACGAGGGTACTGACCCATGGTCTGGCTCTGAGCCACTCTTCTGGGCTGCAGGGCCAAAATATTGAGCACCAGATCTAGTCTAATCAGTTGCCAGCAGACTTTGAGAGGCAGGTCTTACTAGGTTAGCTGTCAGCTTCATTCTGCTCCAGGATGTGATTTACTTCTTTTGTAACACATTTGCAGTCAGTCTACAGGTCCTTAAAGCACATGAAATGCAATCAGTGGCTTTAGGGAATTATGAAATGTTACTTCATACATAACACAAAGAGGAATTGATAAGAGGAGGGACAGTTGCAGAAACAGCAGGGGCAGCATCAAGGCAAAGATTAGTTCACAGCATCATCAACCAGAGTTGTCTTTTAATGAAATAAATTTATATATTTATAAGGTTGTTGTGGGTATTTTGTAAGAGGGGGCTTTAGGAATGATTTATAAGGGACTTGGGTAGCTTAGGAATGGTGTTACTTGGGTTAGGAACAGTCCAGAAGGAACTTTTTTATATGACCCATCTCTGAAAATGTAATTGCAAGACTAGCCAAGAAGCATAACCAAATAACTGGGGCCAGGAAGGCATGCATTCTTCTGCTGGCTCTGTTAGTGAAATGCTCTGTGGCCTTGGATACGTTATTTGGCCTCTCTGCTTTAGTTTCTGTATCTCTAGAATGGAATTGCTTACCTGCCTCCCAGGTGTTGGGAGGTTTGGTTTTGGGGAAAAGCAACCACTACTAATTGTTTATAATAATTTAGCAGCATGTACATGTTCTAGGTTATCTTGGACATGAGGACAAATACACTCTGCTGGAATCCCATGGAAGCATTTATTTTTACTGCAGCGAATGAAGACTACAAGTAAGAATGATCCCAGTCATTTTTTTCAGCTAGATCTTGGAAACTTGTATAACTTTTATAAATTCATTTACCCATTTTGATTTCGAGTCATCTAAGGAATTGTCTTATCCTTTGCTGGATTTAGAACTTTGTGTTAAATAGCAAATTTCACCCCCAGAGGAATGCGCTTTTACTTGGAATTGCTTGGATTAGATTCAAGTTCATGTATAGCAGTAAGTGTCTTTGTCTTTAATGTGTCTGTACTTCATCAGCACTGTAAGCTTTGCCTGTTCATGAAAACCAGAGCAATTACGTGAGGGAGAAAAAGAGGAAAGGGGTGTAGAAGATGACAACTTCATTTTAATTCACAATAAGAAAGACTAGGGAGGTGATGCAAATATCCTATATTGGAACTGGACAGTTAAAACCTCAGTGATCCAGCCATAGGCAGTAGAAGTATTTATTTACTTGCCAGCTACCCTGAGCCCTGCCCCAGGGTGCTAATTACCTATTTTGACAAATTTATTAAAAGAAAAAAATAGTCTCTTGATATTTGTGCCCTGTTCCCCCCCCCCAGATTTGTTAATTTTGTGGTAGGTCTTTCTGTTTCCTAAAGTGCTTTTGTGTTTTCATAAGGCACTGGCCTTCACAAGGCTTTGCTAGCTACCAGTTGTTGAAAACCACAGGCACCCAAGATGCAAATTGTACCTTTCTTCTCACGAAGTCATTGGCCTAACAATGGATTACTGCTTTCTTTGGGAACACAAGAGTATCATGACTTCTTGAGGCTCCTCTTCAAAGGAGCTTAGAAACTAATCCTGAAATTGAAACTGCTCTTAAAGGGGATATACATTGTGGAGGGTCTTCATCCTTTGTTTTGGTGACAAGAATGGCCTCCTGAGCTATCTAGTGGCATCACTGAAGTGAAAGTAGCAAACCTTTTCAAGTTGGCAACTGCTAGTTCTTGCCTACTGCTGTACATCAGTGAGCTGCACAAACATTAACTAATTAAGTAAATTGAAATAGCAGGTTGAGTGTGATGCTGCCATTTTTGTTCCTGGGGAATTCAGAACAAAAAAGTGGTGGTTGGCAATAAGCTAGGGAAAAAGACTGCATCAAATTAATTAATCTGTGGTGGAGAGGGTGGAAAGCCTGCTGCTGGAAAAAAAAAAAATCAAATACCCCAGTCCTACTCCATAGTGTACCTAATGTTATCTGCAGTCATGCTGGCTTAATGCTGCTGTGTGCATGTATTACAGTTGCCCTTGATCTGAGCTATATGCTGGATGCATGTATAGAGAGAGAGACCTTGCCCCCACTACTGCATTTAGAGCAGCTGGGGAGTGATTTTCTACATTCCATAGCAGGATGAAACCAAGACTTCTCAAAATTTTATTTTCTGTGCATAAAGAACTACGGAAAGGGTGAGCTGCACACTTACCAACTTTAGGGTAGCTGCTACCTTGATCTACTCAAACAAAGCATGTGCTGAGAAAGCTAAAGGGCAAACTAGTCAAAGTGAAGTTTATGTATATGGACAGAAAGGAAAGTTGAATCCTAAATGATGGAGAGATTGAATCCATGTCTTGTTGTTTCTTTCTATGTGTATGGCACAAGGGGAAGTGAAAGGTCTGAAATTTCAAATGATATGCTGAAGTAGAAGGATTTGGGAAAGAGAGGGAGGAAAGACATTTATTTGTCTTCATATGATGTTAACATTGAGACATATGGGAAGGAAGAACAGAGAAACATGCTGAGGTGAAGCATTGAGTGAAGGGAGATTAGTGGGTCATTAATATAAAGAAGCTATCTGAAGCTCAGTGGATAAGATCACTTATAAAAGGAAGTGTAGAAAGAAGAGGCAGGAGCCAGTCTTGAGTTGCCTTTGTATATCTGGGTGTCAGGGTACGCCAAAAGAAATGCCAAAGAGAAGTCCTTCATTAAGAGGTGAACACCAGGAAAGACACTGCAGTGGAAGGAAGGGTTCTCCTGAGGTCCTCTGTGCCGGGCCTTTGAGTGCTGCTGTGAAGCCAACCCAGTTGTCGTGCTTGCAGGCCAAATATACCAAATTCCAGAAGTGAGACAAGGTAGCCACCCGCTTTGACTCTGTGTTTCTTGGTATGTGCTCAGGATCCACTGCAGGTTGGCTATCCTGCCTCATATCTGGAGTTTGGAGCAGGAGCATATCATGGAAGCACTCCAGGGCTTAACTTGAAGGCAATGTAGACAAGCCTAAAGGGGGAGAATTATAGGGTTGACAGTATCAGACCCTGGGATACCAAGGGATTTAAGATACTATGTAAATGTAAAGAAATATTCTCATGTTTGCTTAGATATGCCTGTATACAGAGAGAGGGAGAAAGGCAGGCACAGAGTGAACTTTCAGTGCTTTTCTTCGGTTGCACTTTAGTCCTACAACACTTAATTTCCCCCCTCTTTCAAGCCAAGCTCCTTAAAATGGAGCTCACCTCTACTAATAAACACCCCCCCC